TGTGTCGTATAGGCACGAGGCCTTGGTAGGTCTCTGCCTTCCCCACGCTGGGCGCGGGTTAGGCCACGCCGAGCGCGTGAGACTCCTTAGAGTCTCTGCCTAGGCTTGTGCTGGGCGCAATTGATATTGCGCCAGGCGCGTAAGAGCCTTGGGCTCTCTGGCTGGGTCACGCCGGGCGCGAGTACCCTTGTGTCGGGCGCGCTGGCCCCTGGTGCTCTTTGGTTGTGCCACGCCGAGTGCGACCATGAGTGCGCCGGGCGCGTAGGAGGATGTGGAGTTATATGCTGAATTTGCTGATAATATTGAATATGCTGTGCTCACTCGATGTTAATGCTGAAAATTGATGTTAAGCTGTAATAGAAGTATAATGTTGTGCTGAGCTGGGCTGTTATTGATGATTTTAAATGCCGTATTATATGATATTTCTATGCTCTAGAATGATGAGTTGAGTTGTGAGTAGTAAGTTGTGTTGAATACTACTTAGCTGTGTCGTATGCTAATTTGTTGTGTTGTGCTGTGAGCTATTTTGCTGTGTTGTTTATTGCTAAGTTGTATGCTGTTATAGCCACTATTGTGGTGCTGTTATAGCCTCTTTGTCGGTGCTGTTATAGCCACTATTGTGGTGCTGTTATAACCGCTTTGTCGGTGCTGTTATAGCCACTATTGTGGTGCTGTTATAGCTATATATATATATATATATATATATATATATATTCTATTGGTTGAAAGATCTTTTAAGTGATATCTAAAAGTAAAACCGTAAATATATCCTCTCAAAGACAAATGCCATAACATAACCGTACATATTCGTCCCTTTTCGATACAAATGATTTTATATTAAACAGAATTTCTGTTCCACTAATTCCACTTTTTTTTATCTGGGTTTCTTCTTGTACTTCAAAACTTATTTTGCACATCCAATCACCAAATCCAAACTGTTAAAGACAAGTTAAAGATTCAAAATAAAATAAAAACAACATAATCATGGAACAAATGCTACAGTAATAAGTAAAATAAAATCTAATCGCCAAGCCGCAAAGCATGGATTTATAGATAATTGTATATAATATAATTTGGAGATATTAGGGAAGCAGTAACAACCATTATCTAGGTTTATCAATATCTCCAATAGAATTACTACACTTAATTTCTAATATATGTTGATAGCTAGCCTGATATATATAAACTGAAATTTGATAATGATATTAAAATTCGCTGGGATTTGGCCAAAGATAAAGAGTGTTTAAACTATGTCTTGTGTTGTTGTTAGAAGTTCTGGGCGCGAG